ATATATTATATATTATAGTAAATATATTATAGAGCAGATCTAAATATAGAAAATAATAATAATATATAATTAGCTATAGTTTAAAAGATAATAAAGAAGCAAAAAGCTTAGTATTGGTATAAGGATATAATACTACTACTATATATAGGGGCATTCTTTAATATTAAATAACAAGTAATTATTATAAAGAGCTTCTAATTATTTAGGAGTCTTAAGGAGTATATATAGTAACTTAGAGAGGCTTACAAGTTTAATAGTATGCTATATATTTAAGTAACTTAAGTAGTAGTAAGGTTATTAAGTAAGCTTTAATAGAAATAAGTTGTAGGTAGATAATATAATTGCTTAAGCTAGTAAAGAGATAGCTAATATACAAATCCTACTATATTTTATATTTTATATTATAAAAAAAAAAAAAAGATTTAGTCTAAAAGTATATTTAATATAGTTAAATTAAAAGAAGGGTATTTAGCTGAGTTAAGAAAGGGAATGCCTATAGTAATATAGTAACTATATAGTATAAGTAAATACTAGCATAGAAGAGTAGCAATTATATAGAGAGGCACTACTTTTAGTAATAGCAAAAAGTAAATAAGTAAAAAAAGAAAGAGTTAGAAAGGAAGAGGGGGGAGGGGAGAGAGAGAGAGAATATAAGCAGAAAGAGAGAAAATAAGCTTATAACCCATTAAAAGAGATATACCTATAGTCTATTAAAAAGGAAATATAGTCAGTCTATAACTAGTTATAAAAACGAAATAAAGAAAAGCCAGCAACCTATCTAAGGGATAAAGAGTTAAAGCCCCATACCACAGCAAGAAGGAGCCGCTAGCAACCCGTTCAAAAGGGAAGAGGTCCGTAATCCGTTAGAAGGGGGAAGGAAAGGGGGAAGGGCCGCCGGCAGCCCATTAGAGTGAGAGGTGGCCCGTAAGCCGTCAAGAGGGGGACGAGGTCCGCAACCCGTTGAAGAGGGAAGAGGCCCGTAGCCCATTGGAAGGTGGAAGAGGGCGGAGACGCCCGTAACCCGTTGAAGAGAGAAGAGGCCCGTAAGTCGTCGAGAGGGGGGGAGGGGGGGAAGAGTACCGTAACCCGTTGGAAGGGACCCGCTGCAATGGGAAGAGGTCCGTAAGTCATCGAGAGGGAAGAGGCCCGTTAACCCGTTGGAGGGACCCGTTGGAAAGGGAACAAGCCGGTAACCCGCTGTAAGGTCGCAGAGACCCGTAGCCCGTAACCCGTAACCCGTTGAAAGGGGGAATAGGAGGAAGAGGCCGTTAAGCCGTTGGGAAGGGGAATGGCCCGTAACCCGTGGGAGAGCGAAGAGGCCCGTTGGAAGGGGAAGAGTTCCGTGACCCTAACCGACTAGGTTGGCGGTATCCGACCCCAGATACCGGGCGGTGAGGGGATTCTGCCCACGCAAAAGCCCGTGGGGGCCGAAACAGGGGGCCCCAAATACCTGTCGCCAGATACCGCCCCAACTCCATTTCCTCTTTTCCTCCCTTTTGCGTGGCAGCAGAGAAGCCAAAAGCCGACCATCTGATTGCACACATCTCAACCCATCTTCAGCTGCCAGCTGCATGCGAATGGAGGCTGTGGTGCGCATACTATTGCTAAACCCAACATAACCCCAAATGGAACCCTAGGAAAATCCAACCCTAACCCTGAAACCCCCCTTCCCCTCCCCCCCTCCAGGGAGAGAAGAGATCAGGCTCCAACCCCCCTAAGACTCTAAGCGTAAAGTGCGGGCGTGGGGAGTGCGGACTGCCCTTCCCTCTCTTTCCCAGCCCCTAACGAAAAGAGAAGGGGGGGGGGGGGGAAAGAGCGAAAGGAAAAGAGAAGGAAAAGAATAAGATGGCAGCAGCAGATTGGCTGATCTATGACCCTATACATAAGGTGATTATATGCAAGGTCCACGGCTTTGCTATTGCTGCCCTCTCAAGCCACCTATCCAGACAACATGCCGACCTTAGCTGCCGCACCCGGAATACAATTCTGGCCGCATACAATACACTGGAGATAGAGCGGCCTGCCAATGCCGATTTCCACTACGGACCCGCCAATCCAACAGCCGCCATCGACGGCCTGACCATCCACTCGGGCCTTGCATGCAAAGACTTTGAGCAGTGCCGGTTTCTATCGACGAGCCGGAAGAGGCTGAAGGTCCACTGCAAGAAAGAGCATCAGTGGCAGGTAAGCCGGGCCGACCCAACCCACTGGACCGAGGTGAAGCTGCAGACCTTCTTCACCGCACCCGGCGGCGCTGTCCACTACTTCTGCGTCACCACGGGGACGTCCGAGGCCGATGACACAGAGGAGGTCGATCCAGACGCAGATCCCGAGGAGGCAGGCGGCGGCAGCAGACAGCAGCAGCAGCGTTCCAAGCTGATCGCCGACATCAAGGAGCAGTGGAAGTACGAGCAGAGCCGGCAAGAAGAGCTGCAGAGGGTGCTCGCAGAGGGAATCCTAAGGCACGAGACGACGACCTGGCTCCGTCGGTCCGGGTGGACGGCCCACTTTAACGGCCGGACCTACACCAGATCCACCTCTGCAGCCGGATGCCCGGGCCCGAGGACGACGTACTCCAGAGGCTGACGGCCAACCTCGACGCCCTCTTCTTCGAGCGCTGCGTGGACGGCTGAAGAGCATGCCGCTGATGACACGCCTGCTCCTGGCCAGCCCGCACCCTCACGACGCCCACAGCCGGCCGTTCGGGCCGCTGCAGGAGCGGACAAGCATGGAGCGGAACCTGACCTACTGGAAACGCTTCCTCTGCTACTGCCTGAACGTGCTGAGCCTGGACGAGGCCGCGCTGCTGGACCAGCATGGCTTCCGCTTTACGGAGGCGCAGCGGGCCAGCCTGGAGCAGCTGTGGGACCACGTGCGGAGCGACCACTGGCCCGACAGGCTGCTGCAGGAGGAGCTGCTGCAGGTGTCGGCCAGCTTCTGGATGCAGCAGCTGTCCGGGGATCCCTTTGACAGCCCGCTCTGGCACTTCGTCGCCGTCCTCGGCATCGACGGGAGTCGGGGCAGCTCCGGCCGGCCTACCTCTTCACCTACGTGCTCGCGGGCCTCGTCTACACCGGCAGGGTGCTGCTGGGCGAGTGGGCCCTGCCGACGGAAACGAGGCGGCCATGGCCAACCCGGAGCAGCACTTCGCCAAGATCCGGCTCCAATGGCTCTGCAAGGCCACGTACTCGCCCATGGGCTATATCCTGAGCCTGATGCTCTACGGCCAGAAGATCGCCAAGGAGACGGGCAGCCGGCTGATGGTGTCGTGGAGCAAGCACGGCGAGGTCATGTTCTTTATGGGCACGCCGGTCCCGATGGACAGCATCCGCAGCATGGTGGCTGAGATGATTACAGACGCAGAGGATCTGCTGTGGGAGTCGCTGATGTTTAAGAAGGGGAGGAAGCCGGAAGGCAGCGGCGAGGAGAAAGGGGACGACGACGGCAACGGTAATAGGGAGCGGCATCACCGCAACAGGGCGATATCCTCGACGGCAGCCATAGCGATACGAGTGCTGGCAACACCCGGTTTACCATCCCGCTCGATGCATACAGGACGACCTAACCTATACCCAGCGGCGGACGATCCTTTGTCCACAGCAACGGACTTGCGGCGAGAGGTCGAGATGCTCGAGGATCTGGTCGCAGGGCCGCAGAGGCAGACTTCCTGCATACCAGAGGGCGGTGGGAGTGGAAGTGGCCTAGGGTTCGGCAGTATCTCAAGCTCGTCAAGAAGTTCGAGGAGCAGCTGCTCACCCTAGCCCACATGACGGCAGGCCAGCCCAGCCGCGGCGAGGAGATTACGGGCCTGCGCCTGATCAACGGCATCAACCGGGACCGGAACGTCTTTATCATCGACGGCGAGGTCGTGCTGATTACCCAGTATCACAAGTCGCAGGCCCACTTCGACTCGCCCAAGGTGGTGCCGCGCTTCCTGCCCGCGCGCGTTGGGCAGCTGATGGTGATGTACATCGTCTACATCCGGCCCGCTCGTCGACCGCTGGGAGGCCGACCGCTGGTCGCTCTACGACAAGATGAACCCGCCGAGCGACTTTATCTGGCACCGCGAGGACGGCACGCCCTGGGGGAGCACCCAGCTGTCAGCCGGGCTGGCCAGATGGACCAAGCACTATATGGGCCTTCCGGTCCCGCTCCGGGACTGGCGGCATATTGCTGTCGCCATCAGCAAGAGACATGCCCTGGCAGCGGGGTATGGCCAAGGCTGACTTTGAGGATGATGAAGACGGCGATGATGCCGAGCAGTACGAGAACCCCGACGACCTCGCCGCCAGCCACAGCACCAAGACGTCAGAGAATTACGGCGTCACAATCGATGTGCTTAAGCGCCTGACGGCCGAGTCTCTGGACATATTCGGCCAGGTCAGCCACCGGTGGCATCAGTTCCTCGGCTGTGCCGGGCAGCAGCCCACACCGGCGGGCCGCGGCCGAAGTCGAAGTCGAAGCAGGGCAAGCGAGGGGCGGTGGAGGCACAGACACGAAGCAGCCTGTACTGTCCAGCAAACGGGCTCGAGTGCTTCCACTTCGGGGGTTGGGGGTCGGCCGCCACAGGGGACATCGTCAAGGCCGACCACACAGTCAAGGGGCGGGGGACGGGGACGACGAGGCCATCCTACAGGCGCTGCGGGCTGTGCTCCGCGACGACAAGGCCCAGTTCCGATCGCCACAGCAGGAAGAGGCCGTACGGGCCGCAGCCGCGGGAAGTCGCCTCTAGTTGCAATCCTGCCTACGGGCGGGGGCAAGAGCCTGGTCTTTATGGTGCCGGCGATGCTGTCGAGGTCCAGCGGCGGCCGGCGTCACCATCGTGGTGGCGCCGTACGCCGAGCTCAAGAAGCAGATGGCCGCCCGCTGCATCGAAGCCGGCCTGGACTGCAAGCACTGGCCGGAGGCCCGCGACTCGTGGCCGAGGGTGGTCATCGTGTCGGCCGAGGCGGCTGGTAGCGATAACTTCCTGCAGTGGGCCGCCGAGCTGGCGTGCGCGGGAAGCTCGACCGCATCGTCATCGACGAGTGCCACCTCACCTTCACTGCCGCCGACGAGTACCGCAGGAAGCTCCGCGGGCTGGTGCGGCTCCGCAGCCTGGGCTGCCCGTTCGTCTTCCTCACCGGGACGCTGCCGCCGCTGCGCCAGTGGGAGTTCGAGGAGGCCATGCTGCTGTAGAACCCCCTCTACATCCGCGCCTCCAGCCACCGCGTCAACGCCCAGTACTCCGTTCGCCGGGTCAAGAGCGGGCAGGGCATTATGGAGGTCAAGAGGCTCGTGACGGCATGGACAGTGGGCAACAAGCTGGCGGCGGGGGAGAAGGGCATCATATACTGCACCAGCCACGCCAAGTGCAGGGCGCTGGCTCAGCAGCTGCAGTGCCACTACTACCACGGGATGCGCGAGGACAGTGATGCTCACTTTGCTGCCCAGCGCAGTACTGGCTTCCGGGCCTGGGCCGAGGGCACGATGCTATACATTGTAGCTACGGCGGCGCTGGGGACGGGCATTGACATCCCGGGTATCACGCATGTGATCCACCTCGAGGCGCCGCACAGCATCATCGACTACGCTCAGGAGGCCGGGCGGGCCGGGCGGGCCGGGGAGCGCGTTACGGCCGAGATCATCATCGAGGACAAGGACTGGCCAGTCGAGGACCCATCCAAGGACGGCTGCCTCGAGCTGAAAGTGCGCGAAGTGAACAGCCTGATCCGGACGCAGGGCTGCCGGCGCCGCATCCTCGGGCAGTGCCTGGACGGCGATGTGCGGGACTGCAAAGGGATCGGCGCCGCGGCTCTGTGTGACAACTGCGAGGCGGCCGAGCTGGTTTGGAAGAGCGAGCTGTCCTCGCAGGGCATCGTGATGATGCAGGCCCGCGGCAGGATCATTTCCCGCGCCATGCAACAGATGCAGGCGGCGCTGGAGGAGGTCGAGGAGCTGGGCGGCAAGCTGGGCTGCCGGATATGCTGGATGTTCGACGGGGCCAAGGAGGCACGGCATCAGTGGACGGCGTGTGACGACATCGAGGACTGCCTGTCCTTCCTCAGCTGCATGGACTTCCAACGGAAGATCAACTACCGCAGGGACCAGCAGGCCAGCTTCCTGAGCTGCTTCTACTGCCATGTATCACAGAAGCTCTGCGAGGACGGGTATCAGAGCGGCGGCGCCACATGCCGATGGAAACACGTCGTGATTCCGTTGGCCTATGCGGCTACAACCGAGCCAGCTCTATGGAGCCGCATCCAGGGGCTTGCAGGGCGTACCTTTAAGGGGCTGGATGATTATGCAAGCTGGCTTGGGCGGAAGCATCTGAAGCTGGTATGTGGGCAGGAAATGACGAATGCGATGGCGGTATTTACGTTAATTATAGAGTGGCGGATAGAAGAGAAGATTTGAGAGAGCACGCATACATGGTATATTGAGCTTTAGGTTTATAGAGCAGAGATATAGAGAAGCCGGAGGCAGGGGTTGGTGGGGTGTAATATATAGTGCAGACGACACCTGAGGCGAATGCTTATTCTAGTAGATCTAAAGAAATAAGATATAACTGCTAGATTGACGGGATAAATAGAAATAAAAGAGATATTAGGTACTATAAAGTATTTAATTAAGTGCTTCTCTATATACTCGGACTTAAGAGGGGGGGGGGGGGGGGGGCGAGAGAGTAATAAGAGCAGCTATAACTACTTAGGCTAGGGGAGAAAGGCTAGAGGGAAGATATCTTAAATAAGTCAGAAGTAGAAAAATACAGTAGTAGTTAACAAGCATCTAGTTAGTAGAGCTACTCTACTATATAGTTACTATATATAGAGACCGAAAGAAAGAAGAGGGAATAGAAATATAGAAGAAATAAAGATAGAAGGAAAAAAAAGAGAAAAGAAATAGAAGGGGTAGTCTAGGATAGGCAAAACCTATATTATTGTAAAGAGCAAAAAAAGCTCTATATAGCCAGCTAGGTACACCCGGGATTTAAACCTAGATCGTTTCCTTAGCTAGAGGAAAACTCTATCCATTAAGCTAATATACCCTTTCTACCTTATTCTTACCAACCTCTATATAATACCTCTACATAAAGCTATTCCCACTATTATACATCAGTCTAGTTACATACAACCCAACAAATTACATACAACTAACACCATACTAATAGCATACAAGGCAGCCAGCTACACCCGCCATATAACGCATACCGGCATATATAATTATATAGCCTTCTGCTATGCAGTCGGGTCGGATAAGACTGTGCCCAGTATCTAAAAGTGGGCCCGCCGCACTACATACTATATAATGGCCTATAGCCGCCGAGATATATATAACTAAGGCGCAGAGATAGAGTAGCGGGCAGGATAGACCTAAAATACTAAATATCCTTCTAGTATCTACCAAGGCCTTTTGGCAACTATAAGAAGAAGACTGGCCTACTCCAGGCTTAACTGCCAGCATACACTAGTATCCCAGCAGCGGAATAGTGGCTGTATTATGCAACTGTAGAGCGATGGGAAGACCACCTGGATGCAGTTCTTATCAACTTTAAAGCCTCTAATTCCTAGTACCCCAGTACCATATCAATTCTACTAGAATTGATTTTTTAGCCCCACATCACAGGGGGTAGAATTAATTTTTCTTGACAAGGGTAGAATTGAATTTCACCTCGACCAATCAAAACTTGAAGCTTTTAGCATGGAGCGCTTATGTAAGGAACGCGAACTGAGATCGCGTAAAGCTGAACCACCGTGAATACGTCTTACACAGTCTCACATCCAGGGGATGTATTATTTGCCAGTCCTTTCCTTCAACATGAATCTCCCTTTTCAAGCCAATTTGACTAATGACATTCGACCATACGTCTTTTTGCCGAAATACCGAATTCTTGTGTGTACAAAATGTGGTTTTGGGTCAGTATCCGATGAAGTCGCGACGCACCTAAGTAGCCGACATCGCGACCTATCGCCCAAGGATCGTCGCACACTAGTTGAGGCGATACATCAGATCCCCAATGTCATACGGAATCAGAGTGATCTACTTAGTCTGCAGTATCCGGACCGTTCTAGCGGCCCGATTCCTTACCTTGCCGCGCCAATATTGGACGGATTGAAATGCCGGGCTTGTGGGTTTATCGTCCGCCAGATCCAGAAGATGCAGGAGCATTGCACTTCTACACATCACTGGAAAAACCCGAGGGGCAAAGGAAGACCCCAGACTGGAAGTTCTTTACCCGCTCCTAAATTGCCTTGGAACCAGAACGTTCCATGCCAGCGGTTCTTCCCTTCGAGGACAGGCAGCAGATGGTTCGAAGTGAACTTGAAGACGAGTGGTCAGAGGAAGGTGCAAGCTGTCACCCGATCGTCTTCAACTCACATATCAGCAGAAGCTACGACCTTATCCCCGGAAGCTGAAAGTCACCTGAGGGAAGTTATAGGAAGAGAGCAGAAGTACCAGGATGCGATAAACAACCCTCGTGTTTATGGAAAAGCTGTTAGTAGCGATTCGTTCGCGGCGACAGACTTGTGGATCGAAAGAACACGATGGCCTGCAACGTACAAAGGTGCTCGGCGGGATATTCTAAGAGCCATGACCCGATTGCCCTGCCGTGGCCCATTCATCTCAGATTGCTTCCTAATGGGTCCAGGCACTTGTGAGGGCGACCCGGATATTGTCAGTCCCCGTGAGGATGAACAAAAAATTTCGTGCATCATTGGCGCATTAGATCGAGTGTTAGATCGGTGCGAAAACACAGTTCGTCACACCAGTCATACCATCCTCTGCTGGCTGCTCAGTGGCCGACTCGAATATTGCAGACAGAAGCCATTCACCCTAGTAGCGGAGCGGAGCAGCACGCTAAAGTACAGACGTCTCGAGAAACGCCTCTTGAGTTTTGTCCTTCGCGCTTTTAGAATGGCGAATTCTACCAGAGAAATGCAGGCCGACATCAAGATCAGTGCAGAGCTTTTGCGGCAGCTGAAGGGCATTTGGGAGCATGAACTATGGAGTCTGGTTGATGTATCCAGGGGATATTTGCCCCAGCTTCATAATGTCCGCGATGGTATCAGAAGAGACAGTGAGGTGTTCGTTTGTTCTGAGCTCGAGCGGCGTCAAACCCTGGATCATTTGGACGGCGAAATGATGCTAAATGATGAAGTGGAAAGCGATGAAGATGAGGAATCTTGTGATGAAGAAGACGAAGACGAAGACGAAGACGAAGACGAAGATGAAGATGAAGACGAAAATGAAGATGAAGACGAAAATGAAGGCTACGAAGATGAAATGAGCGGGGACGATGACCCGAGGAAAAGTGACAGCGATTTTGAAGATTCCGGATACCCAAGTGGATGTCCATACCCGGACCTGGGGGAGAATGTCGCAGACGAGGTCCTTGACGATTTCCTAGAGCGTCTATTTCAACTTTGCTGCACGCTGTGTACGGAAACATACATTGATGGCCAGCCCGGTTCTACTGTGTTGGTTTACTTCAGTGGTATCCTCGGTTTCTCCCCCGATTGTCGGAAATTCCTACTCGCACGACAATACTGTTCACAACTATCCGGGCTCATATATATTCAACGTCTATTGCTTCTGGAGCATGCACTGCCATTGAATCCCTATCCCCGCATTAGAATTCAGCGACGATCACATACGAACCAGCTGGAACAGCTGAACACAACGCGTTGCAAATACATGATCATCGGCTCACAATCTCCACTTGGGGAGCTTCAAAGCCTCCGAGACTTTGGTCGCACGATTGCACGCACGGAAACCCCGCCATTCTTATTGCGATGGAGCGAAGATGGAGAAACGGTGTCTTGTGGAGACCTGAGGTTGACAATGGAGAGATTCCGCAAGCTTGCAGATCACTTTATTACTCGTGCAGAAGAAGTGAGCTCTAGGCTTATGTTCGGACTCCAACCCGAATTCGACTTGTCAAGAGTTAAAGACGACATGACCAATTCACAATGCGGGTACTCGTTTGTCCAGAACCCAGACAATGGCCTTGATAAAGCATATCTAGAGTTATTGGTCCGGGCTCATACCTCTCGCGCTGGCGGACTGGCGAGGCATGGCCAGTGGAGCTGGAATGCCGTGATTGAGTATCTCAAAGAGGTGAATGGATTGCAGGAGATGCTTGCAGGCGGACTGTTCACGGCATGCGGCCAGACGCCACGGGTACGTGAGCTCTTCAGTCTCGAATGCGAAAACGGGCCCTCGACAAGTTGTGGTTTTTCCATCTGGGAACGGTCCCTGTATACGTGTTGAGACATCATAAAGCCAAACGACAAACGAACAGAGAGTTTTATGTTGTGCGATTTTTGCCTGTAAGGCTAGCCCGCCTTATGTACCACTATCTTGTCTATATTCGCCGGTTTGCAAAATTACTTCAGCGAGAACGTTATGGGGCTTCGGAAGCTTGCCAGCCGAGCCCGTATGAGAGGCTCCTCTTCTGCTCGGGTGGAAGACCATGGAAAACATCTCGTCTTAGGGAGATACTCGGAAAAGCCACTCTGGAAGTCTGGCAACATAAAGTTAACGCTCGGCAATATCGACAAATTGCTATAGGGATAACTGAAAAGCACGTCCGAGAGATACATTCTCCAATCAACAGGTACGACGATCGCAGTGCGCATGCCGATTTGAATGTTGTCTTTGCTTGGCAGAGTGGGCATAGACCATTGCAACGAGGAATCACATATGGTCTTGATGGAGCTTTTCCGACCCGGCTCCAACCGGCACTATTGCGTGCTTACGAATGGGCTTCAACCCGGTGGCATGAATTCCTACATCAACCCAGCAAAAACTTGCCTGCACCGTGCGAGAAGCCATCTCCAACATGTGGTCGATCTGCAGCTACAAGTAAACTCAAACGAGATATCAGCCATATTCTCCAGCCGAGGCATTCCATCGAACAAGAACCTTCACCTAAGCGAAAGAAAATTCAAGCCACGAGCAATGCTTCGATCAAAGCAGCTCCGGGATCGGCTGCATCACAAATCGTTTCGGCAAGGAGTGGTGAGATAGCACCACGCCAGGTAAACGGCGAAGTTACCTCCAGAAACAATACGGAACACTCTAGCCAAGAGCCTTCACTGCGGCTCGAAAATCTGCTTTGCATATTGCATCGATATGGTATTCTCGTTTGTCTAACCTGCAAGGCAGCAGTCAGGCCAGGCAAGGGTGTAGAATCCCATTTCCGGAAGAACCATCGTTGGAAGGGTGATGTACTCAAACGTGTTTCATCGTTCTGTCGCACTTGTCTGCTCGAGGACCCAGCTACAGTAACACTGCCGGAAGATGGAAGCCGACCAATCATTGAGCTGCCTACGTACACCGGGTATAGCTGCAAGATTTGCCGGTATTTAACAATCAACCGCCATAACATACTTCATCACTGCAGCCAACTGCACAATAGGACTGAAAGCAACAGTGATCGAGGCTGGGGCGTTGTTTCATTGCAGACATTCGCAAAAGGTCGTTATGCGCGGTATTGGGTCGTCACAACATAACCTGGACCAGTAATGGGACAGCACAAGCTTCAGGGAAAGCAGCTGGAGCAGGTACTGGGATTCGTCGCATCGCAGGCAGAGAAGCATACGCTCAACGACCCGCACACAGCCGAGCTCCCCAGCGACTACAGTCTCCCCATCGAAGGGCTCCCACTTCTGGGAGGGTTTAGGTGCACGGAACCCCGGTGCCGGTTTTTGACAATAAACAAGAACAACATGCTTGCGCATCCGGCTGAGGCTGGCCACCAACTACGAAAAGGTGATGGCAGGGCAGGCTGGGAGCCGGCGACTCTGCAGACGTTCTGCCGGGGCCGATATGCACGGTACTGGATTGTGGATGACAGCAGCAGCAGCAGCAGTGAAAACAGTAACAGCAGCAACAGCGGCAGCACGGCAGCATCGACGCCACAGAGCCAATTGACACGACAAGGCCACGGCACCGGCCGCGGGGCGGTATTGCAGATGGTCCAGGGTTGCGAGGCAGAGATCAAAAGGGAAGCGGACGAGCGCCGAAGGCTCGCCGAAGATGAAGCGGTCAAAGCCATAGACAGGGAGTCAAGATGGGTCGGGTTTATGAAATGGTCTACGCACCTCCCCAAGAAGGCCCGGCCAATGCTTCTGAAGGCAGGGCAGCCACCCGTATCCAAGGCGGCCGAGGCGCGGCTATGGAGCGAGGAGGAGGCTAAGGCAAACCGGCGGCTGCGGCAGCTCTCAGCAAGCTTCGCTCGAGTTATGGCTATGTGCCGAAAGCGGCTGGATAAGGTGCCGGATAATACACTCGAGTGGCTCGCCAGCGTCGACCCGGCCAAGCCGAACAGTAAACCGTTTGGCGAGAAAGAGGACCTAAAAACGACAGACCGGTATTGCTTATGCTTCCAGCGTTATCTATGCTACTGTGTGAGGGTCTGGGCGCTTGGGCGCAAGAAGGCTAAGAAGGAGCATAAAGTACAGTTTACAAACGTGCAGTGGGATGCTCTTGGCGAAGTCGTGCAGAGGTTGGATGTTGTGGCTGCGGCGGCTGAGAGGGACGGCGAGAAGATGGCAGAAAAGGAACTAGAAGAAGAGGAGGACCCGGACCGGAAGGAGCTTGACAAAGCCGTCTTCGACTTTTGCATCTGCTCACTCAAGCAGAAGCTGGGTCACAAGAGCTACGACAACCCGCTGTTGCATTTTACCGCCGTTCTCGGCATCGATCGGGCAGGCGAGGGCTGGATCCCGTCACACTCATACACTCGATTTCTAGCCGGCTTCTTGTGGTGCGGCCGGGTCTTGATGCTGGAATACTTCTTTGAGAATGATTAGTACGATTCGAGCGAGTTGAGTGACTCGGGGGACTCGAGCGAATTGGAAGGCGACGGGTCAGTTGATGACGAGCTGGCTGTATGCGAGGCCAGCTTCGAAGCCATCAACCTACTACTCAGGAATGTATGAAAGAACTATTCGAAGAGTTCTTTTAAATCCATACAAATGGAAACCGCGCTATTGATGACAGGGGGTAGAGTTCTTTTAAAATCGAGGACGTAGAGTTCTATTAGAATCCGGCTGTTAAAATGGATAAAAAAGACATGCATTGAAAGGCAACTTCAAGGACATATCGCCTATTTCATATAAAAAGCAGAAACCCCCATTTGAAGGAGTGCAACCAGGTTGAAGTTTACAGTACAATTGATAGATAACGTCGAAAGTGGATTACAAGGAATGGTCAGTGCAGGAGGAAGGGTCAGATTTAAAGTTCCATATCCCACCATAACAACCCGCTAAAAGCAATACTAAATCACATCAAAAGAGGAGGGTCGGGTTAATATAGTATTTATAGATCCGTAATCGCGGATGCGCTGTTGTGATCGGAGCCCCACTTGCGGTCTGCCTCATTCCTCCTTACCCCACAACACCAAGAGCTCTCAGGCTGCAATAACGACGGAATAGTCTCCCCTCCCAGCGTGCAGTTTGGATTGCAAAGTGCATGACTGTTTTGGTGTTACTACAGGTTTAGGCATCAGGCAGCAATGGTTCAATACATTTCTGGCGACGTTGGCTGAGAAAATACCGCATCCTGCCGGTTTTATCCGCCTTAGCTGCTGCCAGTAAACCAGCAACTCATGGGTCTACTTTCGAGGAAGCCACGTCAGCTCGACATCTATAGGGTGTTGTCTTGATATTGGTGCAAGCTGCACGTCAGGCAGCAATGGCCCAAGATGGGACAGCGAGCTTGGATAACCAATACCTGCAATATAAGCAACCCCAAAAAAAATGCGGAAAAAGATAACGCGGATCATCCAATTAGCGCTAAGGGATCGGCCCGCTCCGCGCGCCCAGCTGACTGATTCAAGTCTGACTAGGGTCGCTAAGGGACACAATTTCAATCACCCATTGGTTACTGCGACCTTCCATACAATAAGCCACGGACATTATGCCCGGTCTAGTCGCAATCGTGTGGGGTAAGACAGGAAGCTCGGCTACAACCAACACCTGCAATGCAACAGCAATTTTTTTCCTCTGAGGGCGAGAGATAACGCAGATCATCCAGTCAGCCCTTAGTGATCTGCGCAGAGCGGACCGGTCTGCCCTGCTACGATTTGAGCTGACAGGGTGTGTGCGGGGCAAGCGATACAAATTCAGCGACCCACCGCTACAAGCTTCCATGTCATCTCACAACTGAGGCCAGATATCACGGCTAATGATTCCCAATCCGCACTTGCTGCTGAATCGACAGTTTCTCCCCTCACTGCCCCACCACGATTTCATGCATCTTCTTTCAAGGCATCCGCGTCTTGCCCTTCTCGCACCGGGAGGTAACCCACCAAGCTGAAAATAAGTCGTCTTGGCTTTAGGGTTGCTCGCCTTTACATTTGCCTGTTTCTTAAGCGCCACCGACGGTCTGATACCTATGTGTCACATCCAGTATAGGCCATCATTACACTACGCATTAGCGGAGTGTTCATTCCACTTTTGCCGTAGTCGTCTGGTGCGACACTATGTGTCCCCACCACGACATGATCAGGTGCCCGTAATTAGGCACCTGTCCGGCGTGCGCACATATCTGCCCCGCCCGCAAGACTCGGCCCCTACGACGGTCCCATTGTGGCTGCAGCTGGTCAGCCAAAGCCGTCGGTCTTCGTCAAGGGTTCCATCAAAACCAAAAACGGTAATAGATCGACGCAGGTTTCTCTTTCCCCGGTGGAGATAACGTAGATCATCCCATCAAGGTCCATGGTTCCCGAACCCTGGAACTCGGCCAAAGGGCACCTGAGCGATGGTATGAATGTGAGGGCAACGATCTCCAAACCAAGGTCAGAAATGACCTTTGTCTTTGAGAAGAAACAAGATGCGTATAGGCCGGGTTTAATTTGATCATCTCCCTGTAGGGTCATCATCTGGTAATTTCTCTTCCATTTTAAAAATCGAGCTAATTAAGTAGCTCATCCACCTGTTGTAATGACTTGTGAAGATAAATCAAGCCATGGCAGGCCCTGCAGGAGACAATAAGTCTCTCTCAACTTTATGTACCGATATCCCTCCTTCAGTAGTTGTTTGACATAGTGTTGCATCAGAAAGGAAGGGGCATTTGAGATGTGATGGAAGCTCTTGATTTCTATCTAACTGAGGGCTCGTTGCGGCTCTATTTATGAAAGTATCCTTATCATCACAGAAGCGATAGTAAGGTTTCCTTGAGACCGGGCCGCAGTCTTATCATCTTGGTAGTTGTGAGAGGCAATGACCTGCAAACTAAGGCCATTTCTGACTTTAAGCTTTAAGTAGAAATAAGATATATATAGGCCGAGTTTAATTTAATCATCTTCTAGTAGGGCTATCATCCGATAAGTTCTTTTCTATTTTAGAAATCGAGTCGATTAAGCTGCTTCCTATTTGCGGCAACTAGGAATTATTACCGGGGGCATGGAAACTGGGGAAGGTCCATGGGCCAAGTTTTCTGATGTTCGGATCCAATGGTTACCAAAAATCCAAAAGAAGGGTGCACGGGCCAGGGAAAATGGTACTAGGTGCCAATACCAGTGGTAATTGGTGCAGTAGGGTAATTTCGACTGACCCGATGGCTTCGTATACAAGGCACATCACGGGGTGTAGAGTCGACACTACCTACTCTCTATCATCTAGAATTAGTTCCTTTAGCCAAGGCCAGTATGACTTCTCTACCCAACCCCTCAGGATCTGAAGGCTATAGACCAGTTTATAGATCCCCTTGGTGTTGAGTGTATTGCCCATGGGCAACTTATGCCAAAACTTAGTCTTTGTTCCGTTAAGTGTTGTGATTACGAGGTCCCACTGGTGACCCTGGATGATGATGCCGGGTAGGAACTCGGGCAGTTGGAATGGTAACCTCGACTTGTCGATAGCTTCTAGTGGTGTAGTCCCCGGTTGTTTCTCCCGTAGCGACAATGACTGGGCGGAATGCTGTATATCCCTACGCTTCGAAATGACTCCTGCCTCTTTCTCTGCCTCTACTTCCCGTGCCTCCCTTGCCTCCTTTGTTGCTTGTTTCCTTCTTGCCTCCTGCTTCGCCTTCTGTAGCTCGATTAGATAAGATAAAAAGTACCAGTAAGCCATTTGCTAAACGCCCAACTGGAGCCTTGTACCCTCCTACCCCTTACCTGGTTTCTTAGTCTTAATGCTTAGGGTAATGGGTTGCCTCTTTAATGGCATAAACTTGGTAAAGTTGAAGATATTACAAGGGAGTTCGTGGCAGAGCTAGTCAATAGCTAGCACTGTAGAGGGTTTTATTACTGTAGATACTTGGGATTTGTTTGATGGATTGATGTAGATGTAGAAATCCACCTTCTTAGTGGCAGATGGGTTCCTGTAATCAAGGAGGATTGAGGCATGGGTGCTAGTTATTCTTAGCTAGATTCTGTGAGTGAGGTTTGTATGACTTACCAGCTTGCAGCAGTTATAAACTAATGCTTGATCCTCTGGCCTGTTGGATGGAAGGCTAGCTCCAGCAAAGGGGTATGCATAAAATTATTCCAAGTGTCTTTATGGTAGTCGCCCTAGCTATACTGGATAGCCTTGTTGAGAATGCGCAATACATTTTCGACTGAAGATGTTTGGCCGAATTGATCACGACCATTGGAAAAGTAGTACGAGGCTCTGCTAGCAGCCCAGTTGAATATATCGCCGTTGTCTTCCGCGGCCTGTAAGAGAGCTGGGTGATGAGACGAAGCAACTATCCCCTGCCCCTCCATTACGGTGTCTATGCTCTTGAGCAGGCTGTGAAGGCTTGCTGGTTTGTTATTGAAGTCTGAAAGCTTCCGATACTCGATGCCGTCGGGTTGGTGCCTTAATGCGCGGAGTTGTTTTGAGGGAGATAACCGGCCAGATGCGGCGGATAACTTGGAAGGTTCCAAGTTGATGTTGGAGCGGAAGCGCTTTGAGCGGGGCGTCTCGGCACCGCCGGGCTCCTGCCGCTTGTGCGGACTTGCCTTTCGGGAGGTAGGTATGTCTAGAAAAGCTATGTTCTTGTCGTAGGAAATGGTCGAGGAGTCGGGGGTCGGCGGGTTCAGGCGGCGTCGCTTGCAGGCAGGCGGCTGCGCAGTGTCGGCGCGGCAGTCGTTGGGAATCTCGTCTAGCCAGGAAAGAATAGCTGATGCTGATATATTCGGCCTTGCAACCGGGTTTTACGTGGGTGCCTCAATTGAAGTCGATGTCTTGCGACTTCTCGAGATGGTGTTGTTTTTCCTTGAAGCTGGCATCTTGATGATTGTTAGCGGGGTGATATATCATCATATCCCACGTGATCTCCAGATCTGGACGTTCTGGTTCGTTCGGTTTTGAGCCTATCTCGGCTGAATGCCCCGCCTTCGGCTTGGACTGCTGTTGAAGCTCATGAAAGCACCAGGAGAGAAGGAAAAGTCAGTTAATAATTTCGAGTCTTGCATTATCATATGAAATAAATTCCACTGGTAGTTTCGGATTGCTGTCCTCATGATACCTTTTCTCAGTAGCAATAATAATCCAGTGGGAAAACTGCATTTAGGTTTTCAAGGCCACCACCAATTTTTACGGTCAAATGCAGTTTTAAAATACACTTTACTATCTAAAGAACATAAAAAAAGAAGTTTTATTATTTTTAAATCAATATTGCTGTCGCGGCATGTCACGGCATGTCGCGACATGGTGACAATCGATCAAGCGTTACATTTCCTGTTATGGAATAGTGAAATTCATGGGTTGAGCGTTACATTTCCTAATATGGCTAGTGCTTCAAGTTCAGCGAAGTTCAGCGAAGTTTAGCCGTCCCACTCACCCTGTGTCAGGTGCGGGCTTTTGATACCCCATATAACTAGTTAACTAGTGTTTTCGATTACTGATGGATCCGTTACGGTCAATTTGATCAATTGGATAGATGAATTAAGCAGTGATGATGATGATCTTGATTACTTCTGCCGGTCATCCGGATCGGCCGGAAGAGGGGTTTTCATACCCCCCTTCATGACTAAGGTCAGGATATCAATCTATCAGAGGTTTCGTAATACAGGGTCATCTTCCAACAATTACTTTAAAATACTACGTCACCCCATGCACATTGGAGCGGCGATGGGGTGCATGGGGTAGCCTCAGCCGAAGGCTGTGTGTCCGCGGGCCGGGAAGCTATTCCTACTACTGCATTGTCTACGTACTGATCTATTGGCATGGCCATTCTTGGTATTATGTGATATGTACGGATTCCGGGGGAGACCCGTAGACCAGGTGATTACGATTAAATGGTGCATCCAACATCAGACCCTCGAGCATTTTCACGCGAGAGACAGCCACGTAGCTTAAACCAGTCTGAAAGTCCCGGCAGGACAGATCTGTAACTATTATATCTTCGGTGATACTTTGTAACTTGTATATGGTAATTGCATAGTATACAATCAGGGGAAACTGGATATAAGCGCAGAGAATAGCTTTAATAAGAAAATCCCTTTCTACTAGAAGAATTAGTATAATCTTTTTGCTATTAATAGTAATTAGAAATACCAGTCTGCTATATTTATCAAACTCTATTATAATAATATAGGGAGGATCTTAGATAGGGTTGGCCTTAGATATCTAGCTAATATTATAAACTATACTATAAGTGCTATTATAGAGGCTAACTAGCTGCTAAAAATTAGATATTAGTATTAGATAGGAGTTAATATATATAGGGATTTGCTTTATAAAGTTGCCTGCTTTATTATTAGGTGTAATAGCTATACCGGGGCTGACATTCTTAGTTATAATATAGATAACTAGCTGGCTGAGGCAGTTAAGGTAATAGTAATTATATTTATTTACTCTATCTTTAGTAGTATATACTTATAAGATATTAATAAATCTTATAACCTCTTAATTATTTAATTTTACCTATATATAGCTAGAAAGAAGCTTTTAAAATTCTATAAATAGTTAAAGTAATTATAATTTTTTAAAAGCTAGGCAGAATACCTTCTAATTATTACTATACTACTACTAGATAACTTTTAAGAAAACTAATTTATTAAATTGCCTATATATATTTCTACTCTTAATTTCTACTTCCTAAACCTCTTTATTATAATAAAGTAGCTTCTACAGTATAGGGGGAAGCTAAAAGAAGTTACTAACTAATAGGATATTTAGGCTATTAAAGAACTCTCTATTCTTATTTAGAAATGCCTCTCGGAGATAGTTATTAATCTAAGATAGCTAATACAGTCCCAGTATACTCTTCTCGTTAATAATCAGATACTTAATATCTTTAAGCTTCTTCTAGAGCTAGGCCTTATTAATAGCTAAAAGAGGCTTAAAGTTCTTATTAATTAGCAGGTATAATAGGAAATATAAGATAATACCCGAAATCTAATTTCCCGCGACGCCCGTGGGCGCGGTATGCCAGACGGGTGTCCCTCTCCCGCCCGTCGCGGCTTGAAGGTACGCGGAGAGCAGGTTAATAAGGTATGACTTACCAGTACCGCCTCCGCTATCTATATAGAGTAATAACTGGGAGGGATCCCGGGTCAGGAAGTGACCTATCACCATGTTATATACTATACGCTGCTCTGGATTTAGGGAATCGCGAGCCTCTAATGGCTGATTATCCACGTTAAGGTCAAGGGTGATTTCCGCTTTACGTTGCTTCTAGTAGTCGCTGTTGAGAATGCCATCATCGGTATATGTCACACCCAGCAACTGTTAAGACCGCGGCCCGGTCTCAAAGGCTCGGCTCTCTAGCAAACCGGTCTCGAAGACTCGGCTTTGCAGTAAGCCGGTCTCGAAGACTCAGCTCTATAGCAGGCCGGTCTCGAAGACCCGGATCCCTTAGATCCGGTCTTAGGAAACCCTTATTATATCTATAAAGAAACTTCTACAAATAGGGCTGCTACGAGCCCTCAGTTAGATAGAAATTAAGAGCTTCCATTACATCTCAATATACCCTTCCTTTCTGATACAACAGTATACCGCCCAACATAAGGCGTCCAATTGTAATTAATGTTAATATCTCAGCGGCTAAGGATGTTAATGTCCTCTTCCTCTAGCGGGCGGTTAGGTAGTATACGGGCGAGTTTATGCCAATCCTCCTCTGCAATAGGCTCCTTATAGGCCTCAAGCTCAAACTTATCGTCCTTTGCCGTTAATTTATCTATATCCAGCTTTTTATAATAATTGTCTGTATGGGTATTATAGAGCTATCTGCAGTATATATACCCAGCTGTAAAAGAATTAAATTACTAGCTACTTATAATAAGTAACTTTTATAAAAAATAATATAGATAAATTATTATTAACTTAATATAATAGAAGTTATTAAATTAAAAAGAGGCTTTTATAGATTTATATTAAGAGAAGTAAGATAAAACTTTCTTTTTTATATAAGTAATAAGTCTTCTCTATATATTGAGATTGTATAATTATAGGTATTTAAGATATATTATATTCTTATACTAGTTTTTTCTTTTTAGATATTTTTTATAGCTGCTAATAGCCTTATTAATATTTCTATTTATATAATATAAATATATTTATTACTTTAATAGATAGTAATTTATAATAATAATTATATAAATACCTTTTTATAATAGAATATTAAGTAGTAAATAGGAAATTTTTTATATTAAGTAATCTTTTTTAGTAATTAGCTTATTTATTAAGTAAGAGAAGAAAAATAATAGGAGCTAAATATATAATATATAAGGTAAAATCTAGTTT